ATCCTTCCTTATATATATATATGCATATATGTATGTGTAGATGCATATGTGGGGTCACGGGTCAGAGTTCCGAAGAGGATCAGATTCATTGAAGGGGAGGCAACCACGAGCTATGCAGGGGGTTCCGTGCTATTGCTGCATGGAAGGTTGCAAGAACAATATCGAGCACCCGAGAGGAAAGCCTCTCAAGGACTTCCGGACACTACAGACTCACTACAAGCGCAAGCACAGCAGCAAGAGGTACGCGTGCCGCAAGTGTGGGAAGCCACTCGCAGTTAAAGGAGACTGGCGAACACACGAGAAGAATTGCGGCAAGCGCTGGCTCTGCCTTTGCGGCTCTGACTTCAAGCACAAGAGGTCTCTCAAAGACCATGTTGCGTCATTCGGGCCGGGCCACGGGCCCTCTTCCCCGCCCGCGTTTTTTTCAACATGAATAATGTCATTCGAATTGTGCAATAATAATTAATTAATCAAACCCCTTTTGGGCATGCATCTCGAATTTTTGCCTCTTTCTCTTGCTTTGTTTTTCACCAAATGATTTTTTTTTTTAATTAATATCATCATATATATACAAAACTCAACACATTTAATTAAGTTACCGTGTTTAGCGAAACGTTCAAGTTTCCATCACTAACAACATTTTAATTTCAAAATTAACCATAATAATTTGTGTCCTTGGTACTCCAAATGTTGAACATAAGCATGCATATGTATAGTTTGATAACTCACACTCTAATTTATTGATCAATGAATAAATATTGTACATGTGCTCAATAAAGACCACAAAATTGATTCTACTATTTCTATTTGTTACGCTGTAATTTGAAATCCCAAGTGCATGAGATCAATTACAGGAAGTCTGCAACTAGACCCTGGATCAAAATTAGGAGATTCGGCCCACTAATGATTATTGGGCCACAAAATAGCTTAGCATAATGATCATGTCGAAATCTGGAAAAGGGTGTATGATTTTTATTTTTGAGTTGTATTGATAAGGTTGAGATAAAAATGTAATGACAATAATTTAATTTGTGTGGTTTCAATGAAAATATTATTTGGTTTCAATAATTTAATTATTTAAAAAATAAAATAATTATTATTTTAAATATTTGTTGAAGATTTAAAATATAATAAAATTATAAATTATAATAAAATGAAAATACTTCTTAATCGAGTAAGTAAGTTTACGACATATAAAGAATCATTGGATTCTTACTGCATATGTTTATAAGTTGGAGGGAGAGATATTAAGAATCATTAGATTTTTATTTTTTGTAATATTTCAATCCCTGCTAATAATGTGAAACTTGCTCCGTTTGATGATGCGAAGGAGACTTAGGATTTTTTGGTTGCTCGTTTTCATACTACATGCATGGCTCATTATTATCAGCTTTGCAGTACCTTATATTTCACGAAACATCAACCGCATCAATCAGTCAATAAAGTTTCTTGCAATAGTACAACTTATTCGATATCGCCTACGATATGATGATATTAGTCAAAATCTACATGAACTATTACAAAGTAACAAAATTTGACACATAGAAGTACGAAATATTATAAATCTTACCAATTCAAGTGTGAAATACCAAAATTTTACCTTTAGGCTGGGAAGACGTTTTTTTTTTTATATATTGGGAGTTATATATTTGATGCGAGAAGTGGCAATGACGATTTCCTAATTACCTTTTCTTTTTGTATTTTTTATTTCTACATGGAATTTAAGAAACAAGCCAAACAGTGGAGTTAGGCCCAAAGGCTGGCTATTAAATATGGAAGCTTATTTATCATGCATCATCACTTCAAATGATTCCACAAGAAAGAAACAAGAACCAACCACATGGAACATTAATTATTATCACCATCCTAGTTATTTATGAACATGTTTACGTAAATAAGCATATGAAAGCAACAAGACGTAAATGAAATGCACGTATCTTAATTTGTTGTATGAATTAATATAAGACTGTATTATATTTATATAATCAGCGGAAGAGGGTGCTGTCTCACCAAGTGAAGCGCACCATAAGAAGATGAACCTAGTTGCACTATAGTGAGGTTCCATCTCAAAACCAATTAGTGATGGGAGGAGTAGTCCACTAACTAGGCTTATATACCAACACACCCCTTCACGTGTGAGTCCTTCGTAAGCCCAAGCCCACATAGCAGGCCTAGTACAGAGATAAGCTGGCCGGGTAGAGAGAGTCATTGCAGGTCCTAGGACAAGCTCGCTCTGATACCATATTATATTTATATAATCAGGAGAAAAAGATGCGGTCCCACCAAGTGAAGTGCACCATAAGAGGGTGAGTCTAGTTGCACCATAGCGAGGTTCCATCCCAAAACCAGTTGGTGATGGGAGGAATAGCCCACTAGGCTTATATACTAGGCTCATTTTTCCTATAGAATCAATGTGAGACAACTCACTAGTGATATTCCAACAGACTGCTGTATAAAAAAATATAGACTCACCAAGATTGTCGGTTGAACTACCTCCTTCTGATCACTTTGTCTTGCGAATTGGATCAGCCTGCAAAAGCACCGATAGCGGGATCCTTGCATAGTCATTTCGATGCTCAAGTAAAAAATTGATATATCAAGTCGTATTGTAATTGAGAATCATATTGAGAGATTGAGTTAGAAATTGAACTTGGGTCCATTAATTATTTATAATGAATTTAATGACTTACTCCCCATATCTTGGTGTCCTTATCAGTCAATGAGTTTACTTCTTTTAGAATAGCTATATATGTAGATATACACAAACTTGCTTGGATATCTTTTATGAATTCCCCTAAATCTTCATATAAAGTATTTAACTAATACCATATATCTTTAAATAGTATAAATCGAGCTTAAGCTCCCTTGGACCGGCCTTACCGGAGCTAACCGCTCAAGCTGGTCCACCGAGCTATTTTTGGTGTTACATCATCTAGCCTCCCCACTCTAGACGATCTTATTAGTGCAAGACTCGTCTAAGTATAACACAATAATTCCTTGGCTAAGTCTATGGCGTCGAGGTCCTGAGCCTATTTAGGCCCCACGGTCTACTACGTCAGAGTTCCACATATCGCGTGCAACTATGGCTCCCATGCCAACTTTGCACTTCCCTTTCCTCCGTGGCCTCTGAGCTACCTGTTTGGAGTTCTGTCACCTTAAAAAGTTTGGCACTCGAGCGAACTGCTCGGGCATCTGCTATTTCAAAACTTTTGGCACCTGAGCTAATTACTTGGGCTTCTACCGCTTAAAAACTTTTTAACACCCAAGCCAACTGCTTGGGGATAACCAGGTCGTAGCCACGACCTCCACATTTGCAACCTTCGGATGATTAGGTCTCCTTATCTGTCCGAGCTCCTAAAGGAGCCGGCCTCCCGGCCCTCTACTCAAGTCAACCCGTGCCATGAGTTATGTGCGTCAACTTCCTGAAGAGATTGAACATTGAAGTGAGCTTCCTTGGATCGACCGTACTCGGGCTAACCAACCGAGCTGCTCTTCTAGTCCCTCTCTACTTTAGACGAGCTATACAGACTCGTGCAAGAATGATAGTCGACCTGCTCTCTATATAACTAGGTCATAACCACGACCTTCACATTTTCGCCCTACGACAATAAGGTCCCTTCGAGTGTCTGAGCTCTTTAGGTCTCTCAAGCTACCCGCTTCACGCTACTACCACTTGAAAAATTATACCTCATAAGCCTAAGGCGCTCGTCCTACCTGCTCGAGGTTCTGCCTCCTTACTTGGCCCTCAAGCTAACCACTCAAACTTCTACCACTTCACTTGACCCTCAAGCTAACCACTCGAGGTTATGCTATTTGTTCTAGAATTTCCGAGCTCATATCTTTGGCGTTATGTCTCTTGAACCTAGGCCCCTAAGCTTATCTACTAAAGGATGTGCCAAACGAGAGATTCCTGGACCTCGAGCTAACATGTCCTCTAAGCTCGAGGTTCTGCCATATGTCCTCGTGCCCTCGAGCACATCTTAGCCCTTTAGCGAGGTTATGCTAATTAACTGTGAGCCTCCAAGCTCACCTGTTCGGAGTTCTATCCCTCTTTTACTTAGCTTATCTTGGATCTTGAGCTGAATACCATGAGCTCGTGGGGCCTGAAATATCTTAAACCCAGACCTGCCTCGTACTGGGACAAATTTTGTAATTTGCATCCACAAATCGAAGCCACTAAAACCTTATTTAACTTTTACCTTGTGTTGTGAAACAATGACAATACCAATTAAAGACGAGAAAGTAAACAACACAAGATTTACGTGGTTCGGCAATGTGCCTACGTCCACGGCAGAGGAGTGATCTCTTATTATGCTCGATAATTCAAATACATCAATACACCATGTATTTATAATATAACCCTACAAGGTATCCGCTCGGTCACTCCGCTTCCCTCGCTACGCTCACAGGCATCAGCCTGCCTCTTTCATTTGTCAATATATAAGCCATACCAACACCTTGTAATATTAACATCTTATAATATTCGAGCCACCTGCTCGGAGTTTCGTAAAAAAACACTTATAGTCTCGCATGTGACTTGCCCAGTGTTTTTATACAAATAACTTATGGCCCTCGAGCTCGTTTTTGTTTGAGGTTTTACCAAACTTATGACCCTCAAGCTAGTCCGCTCGAGGTTCTGTCAAACTCAAATTTAAGCCCTCGAGCTAACCGCTCGAGATTCTTCTTCTTTAATCTTTGGATCTTCGAGCTCATCATCTCGAGTCTCTACCCTTTAGCTTAATACTTTTAGTCTTCATCTGCAGTTCAGTTGATCGTCCTTGGGCCTTCAAGCTCATCCACCCGAGGTTTTGCCCCTTGATCAGTATTTCCAGTCCTTATTCGAGGTTCTGATGGCTAGCTGTGGACCCCCAAACTCGCTTGCTCGTGGTTCTGTCCTTGACAGATACTTAAACCACACTCAATAAAGAAAAACTGAACCTTTGCTTATGAACTGGTTGAATTGTATGAACAAACTTGTTAAAAAAACTGAGTATGTAAAAATGAACTCGCTAAACTTAAGCGAGGTACCTCTTGATCGGAATCGGGTAACTACACGTCCTAGCAGAGGTCAGGAACCATACTGGGAATTGGGACGGCACGGCCCTTGTCAACCAACATGCCCAATCATGACAGTTGGTGCGGCGGCCCTGCTCTAACTATGGACCGGAGCAACTATTCACGACCATTATGGGGAAATCCTGTACAAAGGAAATACTTTAATTACATTTATTTACGAAAAATTGAGATCTGGTGATATAACCCAGGGACTTCCAAAAGTTGAACAGGTAGTAGAAGTGCGTTCGATTAATTCATTATCGATGAATCTATAAAAGAGGGTTGTGATGCGAGTGGGTCCTTGAGTCCATGAAAAAGAAGACTAGTCTGGCTGAAGAAGCCGAGGCTTATAAACTAAATATCTATCGAATAACGATGTAAATTAGTATTCAAACTTACTTTTATACTAATCGATATTCTTCAAATGTTTAATTTATATAATTCACCATTATTGTCCACGAGCTACGTACTGTAATAATGAATACATTTTTTTTTTATTTAAAAAGCATGAATATTGCAAATCACCATTTTGGTCGGGAATCCACCACTCGATTGTCTATCTGTTGTCGATGCGTATCAAATCTCCATCAACAATCGGCGAGGCGGCTATCCATTCTGCATCTAAAACCACAAAATACATGCATTTGATGAATCTTTATATATAGTATACTATATATTAATGTTTTACGTTTTGCTTTGAGTTAACTGATTTTGCCATTAATTAATGGATAATATTGTACAGCTGTTTTATTGGGAAAATTTGTGCCATGGACATGGGAGGATGAAGGAATTTCAGGAACAAACTATTTGGGAAGATTAATTGAAGTCTATTTTCATCTTTGTTTCCGAGTAACTTCCAATTTATTTATTTATTTTTTCTAGCTAGTGGAGGATTGTGGGTCGGCCCCGCCGGCAGCTCGTTTTCACATCTCTAAGTTTGAATCTTATCGTCTTTGGAGCAAAATTGAGGTCAATGGGTTTATGGTTTATGCGCCGTGAACATGCAACGCATTGGAAAGTCTCGTGAAAATTGATTTTATCATTGATCAAACCAAGAAAAAAAGGCCATATCATTATTAGTTTAACTTTGTTATGTCCGACTTGACATTAAATGTCCGCATATTGGAGTCAAAACAAAGTAGCCATTGATTATACTTTATGAGTCTTTGACTTGTTAATCTTAAATAAACTATTCATATATACAATCTTGGCAGAGGTAAACCAAGTTGACAAAAAAAAAAATTATTGTAAAAAGTATAGATATATTTATGTTGTGATACTTTTATTTTTATTTTGACCATCTACAAGGACTTCTCATTTTACTTTTTTTCTCGTCTTCTTTTTTATTTCTTTTAGTTTTCTGCATTAGTGAATTCTGACAGTATTTTTGTTCCCACACTCTAAAAGTACAACAAAACCATCCACGAGATAAATAAAGATGAATAATACATTTACACGAAATTCAGTCATTTGTAAGTAAATTGGTTTGTATTGAGTTTGGTCAAAGTTATATTTCTTAATGGATGTGCAAGCATTCTACTTTCATAGTATATAAATTTAAAATAAAAAAAAAAATCTCAATAACATTTTAGTTGCATAAGTAATTAACTGAAAGTTGAAAATGTATGAAAAGAAAAAAAATTAGTTATAGCTTAAAATTGAGTTATAAGTAAATCGAAGTTAGATAGTTTCGAGAATGAGCAGCCTCGGATGAGCGCACGGTCAAGCGATCAAACTAACGAGCATTAGGACACACAAATTTGCACTTTGAGACGCTCAGGGCTCGTTGTGAAGATGCGAAACTTGCAACAGCTCGGTGACATGCAAGTGTTGTCGGGTGACCATGGGTGTTGGGACATTTGCAATCCAACGACGCAAGCCATGTCTAGGCGCTGCAAAGTTTCAAGGTATGTGGGGTGTGATGGGGTCTCGATAGCATCCCGTTGTGTACAAGAGTATTAGTGTATATACTGAAAGCTTGCCTTTTTGCGTTATTAATAGTATTTCAGTTGAATGAGAATCATGTATATTAAACAATTCTATGTTATGATATTTTACATTTGGATAATTTATTGTTCATCACTGATAGACAGAATATCATATTAATGGTTACTTGTAAAACATAAATAATTAGTTCATAATCTAGATGAAAATAGACAACCTATCCTGAATCGTTGTAGTTTAATTTTGATCGACTGGTCTAAACAGATAAATTGCACTAGTACACTATGAGTGTATTGTACGAATCTCGGAAGGATAAGTTTATTTTACACTGACCAAGTAAATAAAATTAGACCTCGGCAATTACTGCGTACTCTCAACCTGTAAGAAAATAGCAGGCACGTGAACTTAGTAGCTGCTACTTTTATTTACTAAATAATGAGATTCATTCTATTGCATCAATAGCCTTGGTGAGTAAGTTAGTGATGATGTGTGTATGCGGTGTAATGTTCGATTATTTACGGTCACCGTGTACCTCAGTGTGATGATGTCCCCGAAGTGAGTTCAAGAAAGACTATTATGTTAAGCACTGCAAGCGAATTGAGTTTCGACATAATAATAATGAATTGAGTGGTACTAACTTTGGTTCAAGAAGTTAATTAATTATATTATCGGTAATTAAATTAATTATTGGATATTATTTCTTAAACACGTGAAGATAAATCGAGTAATTATATTGGAGCCTTAAATGTAATTTAGGAGATATATTCAGAGCTGAAAAATATTTCTTTAGTGGATTGAAATATTGTCAAAGTATGAGCGGAGTAGGCTGCGTCCACAGTTGGGCTCATACTTAGGGAGCCCATAATTAACACCTCCTTAGGCTTCCTATAGTAGCCTATAAATACACTTATTCTCCTAATGGTTCAAAACGCATCTCTCATAAGAACACACATGACTTTGAGATTTGTAATATCAATCGAGAAATCTTCGAGTTTGTCCCTCATAAAGACGAATGAAGAAGGTGTCGGGTCATACTACAGAAGTCCTCAAGCTCAACCGAGGCCACGCATCACCGCATTCGATCCCACGACCCCAGAGCACCACTGGGGACCACCGCAAGCTGCAACCCCACACCACAGCCGTAGCCCAACATTGCAACTGCACGACGGCAGTCACGAATCAACCTCACATGACGCGCCCCAGTCGCGACCAGCAGCCGCGCACGACCAATAGTAGTCCCACGACGCATGTACCCTTTCACCACCTAACGAGATGCGACGGACCCAGTGGACGTGATCGGCGATCCCGATGAGACACGACAGAGACTTCCGGCGACAAGGAAATGAGGACAAAGAGGTGAGAAGATCGTCTAAAAACCTTCGTTCGATCCCATAGGTCGTGTATTCTGCTCAGAGTCTGCAAAAGTTGTAAACCTTAAGTGTTCAACCCTTGCTATAGTTTCGTTGCACTTAGGCTTATTTACTTCATGCGCCGCAAGTCTGATACACCGTAAATCCATTAGGATTCTCTTGGCTATTGTCGCTCATAAAGACTATGAGATTTGGCAGATGGATGTCAAGACGACTTTTAACGAAAGTCTTCAGGAAAACATCTATATGCAGCAACCAGAGGGGTTCGTTGCAGAGGGTCGTGACCATCTGGTTTGTAAGTTGAATCAACCTATTTATGGAGTAAAGCAGGCTTTTGAGGTCTTGGAACATCCCTGACCTAGTCTATAAATACATCATTTCCCTAACTAGTCTCCCACGCATGATACATGATTTATTCCTCATAAAACTCGGTAAAAGAGAGAGAGAGAGAAAGAGAGAGAGAGAGAGAGAGAGAGAGAGAGAGAGAGAGGAGCTGATTGGTGGTTTGACATCTAGGAAAGAAAATCAAAGATCACAAGAAGGTCTTCTTTGTTCTTTCTCAAGATCGAACATTCGTGAGACTTGAGACAGGATATCCGAGCAGTCATCCCTGATAAAGACGAGTGAAGAGAGGTGTCAGAATATACAACAGAAGATTAAAAGGTCATCATGTTCATTCAATCCCATAGATCATGTAACTCGAATTAGAGTCGACATATTTTAAACCGCAAGATCTGAATCCTAACTTCAGATCCGTTGCGTGTAGGGTTCTTTTTTTAAATTTTCCTTCAATTTAAATAACGGTCATCGACGTTCTTCACCGAACCCAATAACAATCCCAACTAACCACTATCCTACATCTATATAAACACACCATGCATGACCTTTCATGAGTAATGATTTTCTAAGAGCTCAAAATAAATATTATTTTGGAAGATCACAAATATTTATCTTGTATTCTTGATTTTTCTTTTTATTGTCGTGGGTCCTGAACACAAGTATGTTCGTTTGAAATTCTAGTTATTGAAGTGCCTCGGTACAATAATTATAAATTGTGGTATTATGAAGACGATTGGCAATAACGAGTGGACATTTACAGGGCTTCCCTTGCTTTGAGGAGAGCGTGTATATAATACGTGAATTGACCTTATGTGTTATTTTTATTATCCGTTCAATTTCGTGGTCTTTTGCTTGTGTTTGTTGTTTGTTCTCCATTGTGCAGTAGTTTTTTAGCCAGGGTAAGGGAAAAGCCCCAACCTCAAGTCGTTTCTCTCATGAAAGATTGTTTGAAATTGGATTCCGGATACAATCTATCACAAAAATGAAAGATAAGGTCTTAAACACTTTAATCACAAGTTGATTGGATGAACTGAGCTAATGTGAATGCAAATAAACTTCTTGAAAGCAAGTAAGCTAAAACGAGCACAAAAGAATCATAAATCCGCAATAAAAAGGAACGTAAACAAAAACCGAACTACGCACTCCAAGACCAAAGATGAAAAAAGAGGCACTCAAATGTTTGAAAACATGCAATCAAGTAATCGTCCCTCCTAGATGAAGCAAGCTAAACGTCAATAGATTCTCGACACTCAATCGACCAAAAAAAATAGCATGTTCCCTACTCTCCAAGAATGCTAGCCTAGTCTACTCATCAAAGTTCTTACTTGCACCTCAGAAAAATTCATCAAGTAAAGACACGAAAAATTTACGAGATGTTATATATTGGTGTGGTTCTTCTACTTCTAAAACACCATAATATCGAATCATGACTGAAGAAAAGCATGAGAGAAATTTGAGGCGTAATTTCACCTTTTAATGGGTTATTGATAAATATAGGAGCACTTATGAGGTGGGCGAAATAAAATAATTGGTATTTAAACCTTAACTAGTACGACACCCGTGTACTACATGGGTTGTTTGAAAAAAAAAATATAAAACATAAATTAATAGAAATAACACATGTTGTCGTATAAAAGTTTATTATTTTTTTAAAAATTAAAATAATTTAATATTATATAAAACATTACTTTGAGTTTTAATTAAATTGACAAATTATATTTTTTTTAATCATAATAATTAAACACCCGTACATTAAATGAAAATGTCAACCCATGTTAAATTTTCTTACTTATATCATATAAAAATATTGATATTATTTACTATTACATAAGTATAAAAATATATATCTTAAATAGATAGAAATAATATGGTGATATGTGTATGCATAAGTGTAAAATATGTTTATTTAAGGTTTTTTAACTTTATATGTAATTTTAGAATTTAGATAAATAATTATTTATTTATTACATTGACAAAATACCAAATAGATTTGAAATAAACAAAATTTGAACATGTCTTATTTGGATAAACAAAATTTGAACAATTTTTTTATCTGAAAATAAAGTACACTATAATTCTTATATTTGCTGGATTTAGTTTATAATTTATTAAATTAAGTAACGTGTGCATTTTAGTTATAGATTTTAGATTAAATGATATTTTCTTATCCTACATTTATCTACTTAGAATCCCATTTCTTATGGACAATTACATAAATCATGTATACACGTAACTACGAATTAAATTTTTTGGATTCATTATAAGAATAAAAAAATTCATTAAAGAAAAAAAAAAATCAATCATGAATTTAGTGTGATAAAACATATTAAGTTATATCAAAGTCTAACTCCAAAGCATGATTTTTTGCCAAATAGAATTACGAAGCATGAGAATTTGCCACGTAAGCTCAACGCATTCTGAAATTATATATAGAGGGGATGTTATGCCGAATTTGTAAACTCGGTACGCCAATTCCTGGCCGATTGACCCGAATTTTAAAATCCACTAGTACGGCACCCGCGCGTTGCGCGGCTTGCTGTTAAAAATGACGTAGATGAAAATATTATTTATTATAAAAAAATTTGAATTGTTTTCTTAAATATAATATTAGTAATGGATGAATTATATTCATTTTCAACATTATCATCACCAATAACAATCATCAAACAACACAGATTTGTGACTCTAAAACAACAACATATAATTGATTGTGACTACAAAATACCATATATATATATATATATATATATT